CAGGCTTGCGTATATTATTTCTGGATAAAATATTGAGTTAACCTTTTTTAAAAATCGGCTCAAATCGAGCAGTTCAACAACACTAATATTATATAAATTTGTATAATGAATTCATTATAATATTTTTAGATATATCAGGATCAAATAATTTTGAACGCGTTCGTGACCGAAGTTGGTTTTTTGAGAAAACTGATAAATGACGTTCCTTTCAGCTTTGACGAACTTTTCCCTTTTTTGACGAACGCATTCGATTTTTACGTTCGTTCAATTTTACAAAATTTTCTTATTTTTATGCATTTGAAAATAAAAAATATTAATTTAATATTAATGAATATTTTTAACCAGCCAATATAGTATAGTTTATTAACTTGAATATATTATTTATAGATTATATGTTGTTATTTCATCATCGGATTCTGAATTAACATCACCATGACCCAATTATAATAAATAAATAAATAAACTAATTCTATTACCAAATATAAAATGTGTCCAAAAAATATATCAGTTTCAAAATCTTCAAGTTTTAATTTAAAAAGACACTTGATATTTTACATTATTAATAATATATATTATATAGATTAATATGAAATAGTTAATTCTTTTAGAATTTAATTTTTAGTGTGATTATTTAAAATTTATTCTTATCCAGCCATGGGAAAAATTCTTCACCTTGATGTACTGGTTGCAAGTATACAAAGAACCATCCTAGCTTAATTAGCAAGCTTAAGAAGTTCCAGTCGCTTTTTCCCCAAATAATTAGTGCATCCTCTTCTGGTATACTTTGTTGGTGCAAAATATCGCATTCTTGCTCTATGTTGCTAATGTTGTTATGATCTTTGCTTGAAAAGGAATTTTTACGGAATATTTTATCTATATATGAACTCTATGTTTATCATCTTCAACTTGAATCTCACTCTGTGCATTTCTATAATGCTCTAAAAGTTTTAAATATATAATTAAAAATTACAATGATATAAAATTTGAATTAAATTTATGAAATTTTAAGATTTTTAAATCTCGGATCAAGTAGTGTCGCTAACTAATCTTAAAAATATAATATAAAATAAATTACTTTAAGTTTGGTAATTGGAAACCTATGGTCAAGCCTTTTTTGCAAATTTACCTTTAGGCTAGACAAATTATATCTGAGCAATCAGATTTATTGATTTATATAGGTTTTTTTTTATTTCTGCTAAATAATAACCCTAAATTTATTGTCGATGAAATTCCACCAACTCTCTGAAAGGATTTAATAATGTGTAAAATTTGTCAATTATATCCTATTCGTTATTAAAAAGTTTTAAGGATTGTTTTCCTATTTTATTTAGAATATTATTTATATGAATCTTGTTGACACTACGGATGCTCTTTATCATAATTAAGATGCACTGTCAGCGGGTATGGCAATTTAATTAGTTTTCGTATTAATTAGATATGATGGTATAGTGCAATTCGTAATTTATATCATCAGTCTCATCAGAGTTAGCAAAATGTTCAACAAGATATGGATCAGAATCATCAATATCCATAATATGGCCTGCCTCATAAATTGATTGCGGACATTTACCATCGACCTCAATTTTATATTCCAAATCAGCTTCTCGATATCTGAGGGCTGACATTATTTAAATTTTTTAATATTTCTGGCAACTTTTTTTTATGCCATCAACTGTAACTAAATTATGAAATCCATGCCCTAAGCATAAAATTTGCTATAATCCCCCAATCTGATAAATAATCATAATTTAATATATATAATTAAATAGCATTCTAAAAATTATACACGCCTAGCGCCGCCATGAAGAAAATCGGCAGCGACCCTTGCGCCCCTCTCATCTCAATCGGCTGCATTTCCGGCGTGAATAAAAATGCCTACGGCGCACCTTAATTTTTGAAAAAATTTAGGTCGGGCCGGGTTGGGTTTAAATTTTTAAATATATTAAAATTTGTGAGACAAATTGATACATTTTAATATCCTTGCTAGAAACAAGGCGGTAATATATTTTTTATTTATAGAATATAATATATTAAATTTTTCTATATTTAAATAAATTCGGGCCAGAAGGACAAATTATCTTTATTTTTATTTCAAGCACGGCTTTTCAGGGAAAATAAAAAAAATTCGTTCAGGATCAGGTCGGGCAGGACAATTTTAGAAATATTTATTAATTTTAAACATGGCTAATTTATTGTGTTTTATTTATTATATTAAATTAAATATTAAATGAAATTTAAAAAAAATTTATTCATGAAGTTTTGAACGAACGTGCCAATTTACTTAGTAATGTTTACAGTACTAGAATCAAATAATCTTATTAAATTTTTACAGTACTAGAATCAAATAATCTTATTAAATGTTCACTTGGACTATTCAATATAAAATAATATTGCATTTTGTAATATTTACAATACCGGCATTTATATTTAACCTTTATATTTAGACTAGTTGATAACCCGTCAAGAATGACGGGAATAATAAAATCTTGAACTATTATCTGAAATTTTTTTAATTACATTTTTTTATATAAAATAAATGACATGATTATTTATTCATTTTATTAAATTTAGGGTAAAATATATGAAATTGTAATCAAAAATGTAGGGTAGATATTGATAAATTGGTATTGTATGTCATTTCCAGAGTTCAAATATTCTTGTTTGAGATAAAATTTTTATACTAGCATATTTTGGGGTGGTAATATGAGATAAATGTTTATTTTTCAATTGGCTAAATATAATTTAAATTTATTTGTTAAATCTAAATTATAATAAGTACTTAGGATTAGTGAGGGAGGTTAATTTTCTGGCATGGGAAGATATTGATAAATAGGTATTTTATACTATTTGTAAAACGTTACATAGGTTCGAATCCCGTGATGTACAAAAAATTTTCTTAAAACATTAGAGATATATACTCCATCGATTTATTAAACATTAAGAGGATAGGAAAGTTGATAGAAAAAATAAAAATTAACATTAAGATGATAGGAAAAATAAAAATTAACATTAAGATTATACGAAACGTTCATTTCTTGATTACGGTGATTATATATATAGATATTACATTATTTAATCGTTTAGATTTTAAAATAATAAAAAATTTATTTTATATATTCAAATAAAGTTTTAGAGCAATAAACGCTAACTTGCGGATTGAATATTATTGAATTATATATTTTAATTTAATATTTTTAAAATATAATTGTTTTAAAGAAATACCATGTATTAATGGATTAAATGAAATATAATTAATAATTTATATTACTTTAATATTAATGAATATATCTAGTAATTTAATTTTATAACTTGTTTATATCAAAAGAAAATATCTCAACTCAATAAATAAGAATATAAACAATATTTTTATCTATATTTATTTTTATTACTATTCAAATGTTCATTAATCTCTTTCATTTTTGAGGAATGTTAATTCCTGAATTTTTTATTAAAAATAAACTTATCTTTTTCAATAATTGAAGATATTTCTCTTCTTTAAATTTATTAACAATTTGGAGTTAAACCAATAGCAATACTACTAAAACAAGATAGAGATGATGTTGTTTGAACCTAATATAATATTTTGAACCAATATCAATATTTTGTTAAAGAACTAAAATATGATACTAAATCTTTATTAAATACTTAAATATAAAGTGAAAACATAATCAAAATAAAAGAAAAATAAAATTAATATAAATTAAGATTAAAAATTAAGTTCGCAAAATAATAATATTTATTTTCTAATAAAATATTCCCGATTATATATACTTTTCTATACTATTCAATTCATTTACATAGTCTTTACTCAAATAATATAATAATTCGTTTCGTTTTTCTGTTTAACAGTCGATTTGGTTATTACTTATTTTTTTCTCGATTTTATTTTAAAGTAAATTTACATATTACAACAAAAAAAAAATCGCGTTACCATTACTCATTACCTCTAGAAGAAGGTAACGTGAAATATTGCATGTTTTAAATGCACGGATGTAGACAAAAACTACAGGGGATTGTTAAAATGTTCCTGGGTAAGATTTAAGCAATATAATAATTATTTTCTTAGGAATTTATTATACTAAAAAAACTTAGGCTTAACACAATATTATGAAATTATTTATTATAATAAAATATCGTTATTAAATTAAAAAATGTGTAGATATTTTAAATATGGTATAATAAAAAAATTAATTAGTTAGATAAATAAAGCGAATAATACCAATAAATATAAAAATGATAATTTTTATTTTAAAAAAAAATAACTTATTTTAATGGCAATTTTTTTTTTATCTTTTTGAATGATCATGCCAAGCCTAGTAGACCCTATTGAAATTCATTTAGTCTAGATGCATTTTAATAGTGGACTTCAATACGTGTTTTTTTAACGAATGAATGTCTAGTACAAGTTCATAAATTTTAAGATCTGGTTTCGGGGTTTTTAAAATATTTCACTCGTTTCCGGTTCTAAACCATGATATAAGCTTCACTCTTTCCACATCATCGGTTGAGTATAATAGTGTCTTATATCAATTTTTAAAAATAATTTTTCAAGAGAGCATTTTTTAAAAAAAATGGAAACTCGATATAATCTACACCTCTGGCGTGAACAAAATTTAGAGGAAATTTCGCGATAAATATGGTGCTTGCTTACTTTTTAATCCTCTTAATTGTCAAGAAATTTTTTGATAAATTTGGCACTTATTCTATTTTGAAATATATAAATGATATAATTAAAGAATCTTAAAATGTTTTCAAAAAGGTAAAATTATCTTCATATTTGAAAAAATTATCTTCATATCTGAGAAAGTTATCTTCATATCTGAAACAGTTATTTAAAAAATAACAAAAAACTCTTAAAAAAGAGCAACACTTTGATATTTTTGGCACAAATTTTCGTCAAAGCAGGTGTCCAAATTGAAAAGGTTTTATTAATTGTTTTTCATCTATTATACTACTTAACAATTTCATTCATATAATTTTTTTTTCAAAAAAAAACGTAGGAGGACTGGTCCGGTTCATCCATATTCGAATACCTGCATCCCGACGACGTGAATAAGGTAAAAGAACAGCTGTGTTCATCGTGGGACACTCCTAATAATCAAAGTTCAATCAATTCTTCCCTAAATAATTTACTCTCATCCCAAAACGCCAATAATAATATTCCACATAATAGCATTGATAATACCACCACCATCAATAATAAATCCCCAGGCTCCTTAAACCCCGGATCGTCCAACACACTTCACACTAATCAAAACCAGGCAGCCAATACCAACAACACGGCCTGTAATGGTAGCAATAATAATATGCCCGCTAATACGAGTATTAACAATAACCGGGTCCTGGACCTTAAAACGGGTACCATCAAGAAGGAAGGTCATCACCAAAGTTCCAATTCTGCCCGTTTTTGTATGGGAACCCGTAGGGGCTTTATATGTAGAATCAAGTGCGGGCTTCATGAGGTAATGCCTTTATAATTGTACATTATATAACATGGGGCATAATGGTTGAGAGAAACGCGCGTTTTATAGTAATTTTAAAATTTAAAGTTTTATATCTTACAAAAAAGGAATTATTTTAACCTGAAGTATATTTCCCACATTTCTAGGTCTCAGCAGACGAGAAGAAAGTTCATCTTTGACTAATTGAAACAATATTATTTTAATCAACAAAAAAACTTGAAGAATTCATATGTAAAAAAATTAATGATAAAAAATATATATTATAATAAGGTTTACTTCTTCATAAATTTTATTAACAGAATATTTATTTGTCTACCGTAAATCAAAATTATTATTTATAAATTAAAAACATAAAAATAATTTCAATAAAATATAAGTAATTTTTGTTGTACATAACTGAATTTAAAAAAAATATAAAATTTAACAATTTTAGAAATTTTAGAAATTTCAATAAATTTAACAACCAACGACTTTATAATACAAAGTATAATAATAGATATAATGGAAATATAATTAGTGCAAATGATTATATGAGGGGGGTGGGGGGAGGGTTTAAATAATTTTGGGAAGAAGAAAATCTAGATTAATCGGGCTCCTCGGGGAATGAACCTATGAAGCATGTGAAATTAGATTTTATAATCTGAATTCCTATGCGTTGACGTAAGTAGACGCCTTCTTTTGGGTCACCTGATTTTGTTCTTAAGGTTCTGGCAATCTTTTTAATTAGGCTAAGAGCCTGACTTCCAAGGGATGTTAAGGTTGTCGTGACAACTGGTATGAATTTATACTCATCTGGAATATACACATATTTATTTGTTTTAAAATCTTTGGTGTATTTTAAAATGTCTTTATTGATGTTGAAGGGTGAGAGGGGGTCAACGCAGGAGAAATCCCACGCTAGAAATCGACCATTCTCCCAAGGAATTTGTGTAATTTCATCGGGTCCTCTCCCATCCGTAAAGAGACCTGAGGATTTAAAAGTGGCAGGAAAGCCTGCGGACTGTAAAGCTCGTTTTATGAGAGCATTACATCTGTATGCCGGATTGAGCTTCACTGCTAAAGATGTATTGGTGGCAATGACGACCAGTTTGACTTACTGGCCTTTTGCACTTGACGCACTTATATGAAACTGAGGCTGTTACATTTAAGCGAATGGCTACAGCAAAACTGAATTCTTGATTTGAAAGTTCGAGATCAAGATTTTTAGAGGGGATGCCATCCAAGTATTTATGTCCTGAACCTTGGTTGAGGGAAGCTAATAGGGTATGATCTTCAGATTGCAGTGTCGAGAAGAGGTAATCAACAGACCTTGCAATCATCGGATTATCCCAATCCATTTGTTTTGGGAGGCTGGTGGTTGACATTCATCTCCGACTGAGGCTTTGCATATGACATAGGCTTCGTCGAGCAGTGCATCTGGCAAGGTCAGTGATCAGTTATTATTTTGGAGTTTGCCAATCTGGACGAGATGAAAGCACTAATTGATAAGGCTATGGGTGATCGTAACCCTAAGCCTCCTTTATTGCAGGGGAGAGTGGCTTGATGCCACGAATTGGAGTTAAATTTGAGGTTAGTTATTTTTTCCATGATGTTTTTAATTATGGATTCATATGCTCTTAAGGGTTTGGGATGTTTAAAAACAGCAGTTGACCGTAGAGCATATAGGATCTTTGGTATATTGAAGAAATTTATAATTAATAAGAAAGATTTATGCGTGGGAAGTTGCATAAGTAGTTCCTTCATATTGTTTAAATTATTCGAAGTAGCCCTGAAAAAGGCTTCACCTGCTAAGCAACCCCCAACTGGTGAGCCAAGATGTGTTAGTTCTTCGGCCATAACCTCTTTAAATGCGTGACAGCTGGGAGATTGAGAGGTGAGCTGACAGAATTCTGTGCCCATCCTTTTGCAAAATTTCTAGGGCTTTGTCTATCTCTTCTGGGCTTCCGCTTATAATCCCGTCATCTTACCAGATATGAAGATCTAACAGGCAGCTGCTTTTAATTTTTTTAACTAGATTGTCTATTCCTAGACAGAATAATATTGACCCTAAGGGATCACCCTGTTGAATTCCTTCTGAAGAAGAAAGCCTATATTCACCATATTGTAAGATGGAGGGATTCGCATAGCAGCTTAAAATGTAGCTGGAGTAGCATGGGAAGCTATTGATGAAGGATTTTAGGAAGACAGACCGTTTTATTGTGTTGTATGCATTGTTAAAGTCAATTTTAATTAGGTGTTTATTTAGAGGATTATTTTTAAGATTGATGCGGGTTATATGAGCGACAGACTCACAGCCGCCTTTGACACCAACCCCTAGTTGAGTTGAAGTTTCATTGATTCGAGCCGAAATTAATTTTGATACTAATCTCCTAAAGAGGGTGCCTATGGCAATAGGGCGTAGGTCTTTGTTGGGTTTTGTAAGAGCGATTAGTTTTGCTCCAAACATAATTGGCTGGGCGAAGATAGGAACGTCACCATGTAAGATCCTGTTACAAAGGAGAGTTATACTGTTGAGTAGGGTAGTTTGAGAATTTGGAAGAGGGATTGTTAGGTCTTGAAGATATATCGGTCTCATGCCTTCAAAACCATGTGCAAAATCTTTTTGGGAGGATGAGATTGCTTTTCTCACTTCCTCTGGGGTAAATTCTATTCGATAAAATGTGGGATTTACACCAGGTAATTCAGTTGTAAATGCCTAATGTGTGGGGTGCTTCATAGCCAAAATGTATAAGTTTGAAAATTAATGGGGGCTAGTGTGTCTGATGAAGAGGCCAGACGAAGTGCCCCTTTTATATCTAAATTATCGATTTTTTTCCCACTAAATTTACTTTTATCTTAAAAGTATTTATGGATAACTTAGTTGTGGAGGTTAGAAATTTTTTTTAAAAATAAATTTAAATTTAATTGCTGATAAATATTTTTATTTCCTGCCTTTATGAAGTTAAAAAATTTTAATAATTTTTTTTTAACGAAATTTAAAATTAATGATTTTAATAAATAAAAGTGTATAAAAAATTACGCCTATAAATAATTGCATTTCATATAAAATTTCTGCCTTAAAATATTTTGGTATTTAATACAATTTCAAGCTAAAACTTTTCTCAGGTTTTCTATTTTTCAATTTTCACTATTTCATTATAAATAAATTTAAATTTTATATTTCTTGCTCTTCTATCCATCCCAGCTATGTTCTAATTTTTTGACGTTGCCTCTTAATTTCTAAAATAATAAGGAGTTTTAGAGAGAGCGCTACTTAATAAATTTAAATATTGATTAATGGTTATAATTTAACTCATGCCTAACATATAAATTAATATTTATATTTTCGATTTTTAATAAACTAATTACTCATTTTTTTACAATTTTATATTTTTCTCGCTTCAAAGTTAATGCGTTTTATATTAAAAATTTAATCGCACAATATTTTGGTCACCCTATTAAAATTGAAAAATGGATTCTATCATATTTTACCTACAATCAAATGTAATTATGGTTGAAATGGATTATAAATGTTTAAATATAACAATTAAAATATGACCTTTAAAAATCATTTTTATGATTTATAAAAAAAAATTTACATTTCATGCCATCCACTCCTATCCTCCAATATCGATATTATCATCTATATGTTGGTTTACTAATTCAAAAATGGGGTGAAAAAATTACATTTGGCAATAACTATATCATCTTTTTATTATTGATTTATCAATTTAAGTTATTATATTTTTATCCAGATTTAATTATTTTTTTACCACTTGACGATTTTCGCCTTTGATCATTTTCATATGAGTTCATACTAATTATGATTTCTGTACACAATTTTTCTTGCGTCTATAAACTCCTACCCCATCCCCTATTATACTAGTAGGTCTACTTTCAACTATCCTTTATCTCGTTCTATTGTAACAATAATTTCGGTCCTTTTGTCATGATTTTTTTGCCTAAAATCTTGAAAGTATTTAAGAAATCTAACTATATCAAGTAAAAAAAGAAGAAAAATGAAAAATAATTAATGGTAAGATAATACATATCAAGTTAATATTAATGGCCTGGGAATTGGGATCGCCTTGCCCCTCTTAAATATTTATAATAATATGTTTTATTCATTTTTTGAGAGGGAGAAGTGGCTTGCTAAGGAAATTTTTTCGCCTCTTCCATAGACTACGCCTATATATGATGTTCATTTACAATACAAAGGTTATTTTTTTTATTTAAACATAAAAGAATATAATTATGATTTTATTAAACTATCCTTAGAATTATTTTTATATGATTTAAATATATACTTACCACTCAGCCCTCACCACAAAATGCCATGAAAAATCATCCCAGAAGTGCTAGGGCTATGTTGGGGCCTTCCAGGGATGGCGAGCAATATGCTGTTGTACATTGTACGGGATATATCAAACACTGGCCTCCTTCCAGTATGCTTAACGATCGCTTTATTTTTATATAACTTAATTTTGATTATTAACCATGATTATTCTTTACGAAAATTTAAGGAAAAGTTATTTGTATATAATTAATATTTATTTAAGTATATTAAGCGCCCCTCTTTTAATAACTGGATTTTATGTCAATTCCGGGTCGATATTTTCTCGGACTCATTCCGACCGGACCTTGATATTAAACTTATATACGGGGCTTGTTAGACTAGTTAAGGTCAACGGTCCTTATCCGCCTTAGACTAAGACCGATTGACGTACCGGTCCTTCAATTATATATAAGTCAATACCCGGTATTTTATTAATATTTAAGTAAGCTTTACTATCCAATTCATAAAAATTTTGTGTATATTTTATTTTATACTATTTTTCTAGAGGAGTTACTTTAGTTTTTGTAATTCTTTTACTTTTTTGGTTTATTTTTTTATTTTGCAATATACTATGAAAACTGGAAGTTTATTAAAAAAGCATTTTACTTTTAAATTAAATATTTGTATTATTTATTATTTTACTCATATTTGATTTGATACTGTTAACATAAATACCTTTATATTTAGTGAAATGATAAAACAAGAATTAAATTAGGAAAAAACGAAAATATTTTTAAAATTACAAAAAAAATAAAAGACCGCCCATAGACCGATTTTTATGTAGGACCATGGTTTGACCGGTCATCTGGTACGGCCCATGTATATCGATCCGGGCCCCGGATCGTGACCTGCACTAGCCAGGACTTCGAAATTTTAAATTATGTTTTTCCTATACCTTTATGAGAATTTTTTTTTATTTTGAAAAATGGTACAATCTCCATAATCCTAAATTTTTCTTTAATCTATGTTTTTTGCTCGGACTTAGACCCGAAGCCTTTAAAAATAATGGGACTGACTCATTTTCTCTTCTCGGTAATGGCTGGACATGTAAAAATATTTGTGACGCAAGCACAGAGCTCTCTTTACTTTTATCTAGTTTTATGTTTATAATTAATTTTTGATTTTATGCGTAAATAAAAATTTTTATAATATAAAACATTCTAATAAAAATGTTATATTAAAATTTATTTGCATTTGCACAGACACCACTCTGGGTGATAAAAACGCCTTGAATTCCGCCATCTACCAATTACCGCCGAATAATAGCATAACTACTCCAAATAATCATAGTAATTCAAACAGCGTGAGCCATTTTAATTCCAATTACTTTTGTTTGGTGGCCATCGGCCGCTTGCAAATAGCTAGCGCGCCCAACATAAACGATATACTGACAGCAGGCGAGGGCAGAGTTATAACCGAGTTTGTGTCCAGACACGATACCTCGAATAAAAGACTTCTTTTCGATAATCAAAACCTCGATCAAATCCCTATCAACCAAGTTAACATAGTAATCAATCAAGCTGCCGTTTCTAGTTTAGAATCTTCCGACCAACTCAACTCAGTTAATAATTGTGGCAGAACATACGACTTTACCTTTGTCGATCAAAGGTACTTTAAAATAATATATAGATTATATTATATATAAGTTCATCAACTTGTATTTTGGTAGTATATATACTAACTAATAAAAATGTAAAATTTTACTTCAAATCGGCTTACTTCATGAGATACGGCCATATATTTAAAATATCTCAAAAGTTAAGTTAAAGACATAATTTAAATTTTATTTAATAGCTCTTCAATAGCCCTTTAATATGATATTAATTTATTTTATAAAAATCAATTACCTAACACCGGAAATAGAAAATCGGATTGGCTATAAAATAAAAAATGCACCTTTTTTCTTTCAAATTTTTTTTACAGAGAGACATTTTACTTGCTAATATATGTACAAATCAAATTTATTAATTTAAAAAAATTAAATCGCATTTTTTAATAGTTTAAAAAATATTTATATTATTTTTCTTCTAATCACAATTCATAAATAATATATAAAATAAATAATATTTTTAATAATAAAAAATATGTGGCTTGGTCAAAAATCACCGGCGGCGGAGTATTTGGCAGGCGGCTCACAGCTAATTACAACAAATATATAGTATTTTTTTTTAAAGTGGGCAATATATATGAATAATAGCATTAAAACAAATCTTAAAAAATCCCATTAAAATCGCAAAATACATTTACCAGTAATGTTATTTTAAATATAACGCAAAACGCTTTAATTTGGAAGCATTATATGGAATAAATTATTAAGATTTTGTAAAAAGTAATAAAGTAACAACTCTGATAAAAAGTAAGCTCAATATTCTCTTCACCCCTCATAAAGATGAATGAAAACAAAAAAAAACTTTATAAACTTCTACAAACATTATATATTTTCAGATTAAGGCAGAATGACATTTTTTGTAACTGCATATGACAAAACCACGTGCAGTAGTTTAAGGGTAATAACTAAGAGGCTAGCGGTTAAAGCAAGCCTGCAATGTCCTTCACACAAATAATAATAATACAAGAACACCATACTATTTTTGTAATCGTTTTCATGCTATTCGGAAAACATACTGAAAAACGTGCAAAGCTAGAGGAAAAGTTTACGGTACAAATTACAATAGTAACGACGAAGATTCAGATTTCTCAATAAGAAAAATCTACAAATATGGACAGCACCCAACAATTATGGTATTAATAAACAACCACGAAATTAAAATGGAATATAATACAGGTTCAGCAGTAACCATCATTAATGCAATAATATGGAATAAAATTGGGATGCCAAAACGTAGAATGGTTAGAGCTCCAACTAATATGGAAACAATACAATTAAAATTATGGGAGAAGTTTATGTAAAAGTGCAATTAGATGATAAAATAAAATGGCTTCCGTTATTAGTTACAAAAACAAATGATGCAGCGCTATTTGGATTTCTATGGACTATAGAATTTGATCTAACCAACATAGGTAAAAGTCAATATGATCAGCAATAAATATAATAATAATGATAATGGTAACGTGAATATTGAAAAACTATATAAAGAATTTGCTACGGTGTTTGAAAATAAATTAGGATTAATAAAAAATGTCGAACCAGTAAAACTACAATTAGAAGAAAATACAAAACCAATTGCACTACCAGCAAGAAGAGTACTGTTGCCAAAACTAGAAATTGAAAATGAACTTAAACGTTTGGAAGAAAATAACATAATAAAGAAAATAAATCCATCTAACAAGAGTAACCTGGAGTACTCCAATGGTAGTGGTACGTAAAACTTCAGGTGAACTACGATGATTTCAAAGTAACATTGAATACATTTTTACTAAAAGAATATCACATTCTACCAATGTTTGAAGAATTAATCGCAAAGATCGCTAATAGAAATAAGTAAACAACACTAGATCTCAAAAGCGCATTTCTACAAATAGGTATTGTTTTGATGAACTATTCTAGATATATCCGGGTATTAATTATATATTTGTCAGCAACGTTGAATAATAAGAATGGAAAACAATCTCGAAAAAAGATTTTTAATGACCAAACGAATTCCCGGGACACAAAAATATCATGCATTTATTCTATAATGGAAGAAAAAATGAAAGTCAAATTTTATTCTAATTCATTGATTATTTAATATATGATATTATTTAATTAATATGTTTATATAATAATAATTTTCCATCGATATTCATGTAATATAAATAATTAACTAAATAAAATATTTTTAATAGCTAAACTTATATGTTAAATATGACACAATGTCTATTAGTGATCTGCATAGGGCCTAATAATTTTTCTAACCCGGCCCGAAAGAATAAAAAAATAATAGCAATTATTATTTTTTTCAATAGAGTTTTATATTACACTGAACAAAATTAAGTTTATGATCTCAAATAAAAAAATATTAGTTACTTATTTCTTACAAAAATTTTTAAATATATTTATTTTATTTATAAGCCTGATCCAGTCCAAACTTTTTTAAACATATTACGCCCCCAAATATTATCAATGTCCACCTACCTATTTTTTTACATGTCTAAACTTTAAGCTTTCTTTTTATTTTAAAATTTGAAAAAAATACTATATATTTTAAATATAAATGATATTTATTAACGATATTAGCGATACTACTTAAAAGTATAATAATTCTTGCCAGTACTCGTCCCAGTCTAAGATTTTACAAATATTAGAAAGTATAATGTCTATCTGTAAGAAAAAAATTTTTAAAAAAAGAGCAAATTTTATTTTATAGCCATTTCAAATTTTTGATATTAGACTCGTTTTTAATAAAATAAATTTTATATAATATTAAAGGCATATTCTAGAGCTATTTAATAAAATTTATATTATATTTTTGCTTATATAATTTTTGAGATATTTAAAATTAAATAGTGTGTTTTGAAATTTTCGCGTTTCTAAAGGCCATATCTCATGAAATAAGCTGAGTTGGGAATTAGAATTTTATATTTTTACTAGTTAGTATATATATTACCATCATACAAATTTTTAAAAAATCGAAGAGGGTCGGGTTGAATCTTTAGTTGATTTGATATGAAATACAACATATATTTTTTTATAACCTTCATCAACTCATAGGGTTTTCGATGTATTAGGCTACCAAACTCAGGAAGTTTTAGGCAAAAGCTGTTTCGAGTTCTACCACCCCGATGATATGAATCTCATGAAAGAAACATTCGAACAAGGTTTATAATTCAATCGCCATTATAATATTTTTGGTTAAATTTAAATTGTTCTATCTAGACTCTTTTATATCTTATTTTCCTCTAAATCATTAGAGTATATTAAATAATATGATAAGCGCATCTTTGAGTTTGAAATATTTCATGAGGTAGAATTTATACAGAATATTCCTCATTTTCAACATGTTTCATGCGTTATCCATAGCTACTCTTATAACGATGCAATTAAGACATTTTTATATTTTATAACAAAATTCATCTTTTCAAATTGTAAAACTTATAAAATTTATTCTTTTTTTAAAAATGTTATCTAAATAAAAAAAATGAATGCATGTTACTCTTTAATAGAATAAAAATATCACATAAATAACAAGGTTTAAAAGTGTAGAATTTAAATTTTACACTTTTAAAGTCTAAGTCATATAAAATCAAAACTTAAAAAAAAATCTGGTTTAAATCTTTTTTAAAAAAAAAATTCCCCAAAAGTTATCAAAATGAAGGGTCAAATGATGTCGGTCATGTATAGATTTAGACACAAATCTGGCAAATGGATTTGTTTGCAATCTAACCTATACGCCTTCCTCAATCCCTATTCCGAGGCACTCGAATTCATAATCGCCAATAACTCCCTAGCTAAGTTATTTCTTTTAAAATGAAATGCATAATCCGATGGAAACTAACATATTTTTTAAAAATAATGCATTAAATTTATTTAGACCCTTAAAATGTGACCGCATTATCGAGAGCGATCCTCAAACTACCCTCGTTATAAATGAACAACCCACTTACAAAAATACCTTTGAAACCTTGAAAAATTCAGCCAAAAGAAACGACAAGATGTTAAATGACGAAAAAATGATGACTCAAGTTAATTACCGCTTAGCCATTTTAGTTTTTTTTAGATATATTGTCCGTCACACAGCAAAATCTTGTAAGTGACCTTTTTAAAATTGTTTAAAAAACTTCTTTTAAAATTTCTATTTTACGAATTATATGATTTTAAAAAAACATACGTCTAATAATTATTAACTGATGATAGAGGACTTAATAAACACATTTCTTCAAAAAAAACTATTTTAAGATGCCATTTACCAGGTTATAACAGTGTGACCGACTTGTGGTTAAACGGCTATATTGAGCCGATTTTGAAAAACGGGTAACTTAATATTTTAGCCAGAAAAATATTACACAAGCCTCGAGATTTTGCTTTTAGATGGCCAGCTAAACCTTTGTGCCATCTATGTTCAAAATCTTCAGGCCTGCGTAATGTTTTTCTTGCTAAAATATTTAGTTAGTTGTTTTTAAAAACCGGCTCAAAACAAGCCTTTTAACAACACTAAGTTTGACCGACGATATAGTATTTAACTAATAAATGATATAAATAAATAATAATAAAAATAAAATTAGCTGGTTATATTAGGGATTTTAAGGATGTTAAATGCTAACTTGAGTATAAAAGCATCTCAATGTTATTTTTTTTAAATAAATCGTTCAATAAAACCTTGAAACCTGCGGAATCGCTAATAACGTTTTAATTCGGATGCAACATAACTTTCGGGATTAAAATGAATTGCCTTTTTTACAGGGCCGTAAACTAGAAGATTTGGAAGCCTGGGCCCCGCCAAATTCCCCCTCCTCCCGACGAAATAATGCCGATTTTGTTTTTGTTTCCATTTAATATATGTTACATAAATTAACCTTAATATTAAAAAATTTTGAAGTTACAGCTTTGTTTATATAGAATAAATATGAAAATAATAATCAATGCTTTTGAAAGTTGTACAATATGAAACATTAAGGACTGAAGAGGAAGCAACATAAAGTTTAGAAAGAAGGAAAAAATTGTTTGGAGTTTTTCTTTCGAGCATGATATAACCATCCAAGAAATATGAAGATGACCAACTCCCGTCTCATGGGGGATTGTCTCCTCCCAGATATAGCCGCTTGAAAGATATTAAATCTTGGACATAGCATCTTAAAGATGGAATAATTTTATTTTAATAACAAGTTTATTAGGATTTTTTTTAAAAAAATATGCCTTATTCATATTATTTTTTTTAACGCAACTTTCTACTCTTTTCAAATGGAAGATATATGCAATTCTAAAAAATGAAATTAGTTTTTCTTAAAATGAGAATAATGTTAAAGTGGATATTAATATCTATACTCTTATCATTTCATAAATAGACATTTTACAAGCGCAGCAAAGGTAAATAATTAAACCTAATCTATTAATTCTCTTAGGCCTCATTTATAGTAAACCCGTTGTTCAAGCAGTGTGTTATTTACAAAATCAAGCCAATAAATAAGTAAAATTTAAATATGAAGCGGTATGATGATAACGCTGTTAAACATATGTTATGACGTATATTTCAAATTATTAACGCTATGAAGAATTAGTTGTGATTTCGATAACTTTAAATAACGCAACGCTTGAACATAACGCGTTTACTATAAATGAAGCTTTAAGTTTATTTTAAAAAAAATCATGTAATACAAGTGATCTATCTTTAATAAATAGCACATCATAATTTATTATATCACTAATTGATATATTTAAAAAGGAACATAATTAAAGAACATCAATTTTAATAAATAAAATTTTTTATAAATCTCAATTAAGGTCAAAAGGGTTGGGCGGGACGCGTTTTCTTGGGGTGGTTTCTATCCTGAAAAAAATGGGGAAGGGTGATCTTTAGATGTAGGGTTGTTGAATAATTTTTGGAAGAAATCATAATTTGTTAATTTTTAATCAGGATAAAGCTTATATGAGTAGTGAATCGAACGGTATTAACAGAATTGTGGTGACACATAACAAGGTAGACCTTCAAAATAACTCCACACGTAACGAAAATCAGGGAGATATCAGCTTGAACGATTACATGAAAGAATCCAGTGAATAACTTTTATACATTTTTTTAAAATAATTCAATAACTGCAAACCATACCTTAAAAAACAGTTACCATTGCAACATTGTTAAATATATACCTATAACAGATATCCACTTGAATAATGTTCCTCTTATTTTACGCGATAACAAAGTGAGCGTTATAAGCCATTGCGATAAATTACCGAGGCCTACTCAGGGACATTCGACCGATCAAAACTTAGGATATTATTTCGGGGGCCAAGAGAGACCTTTAGGAAATAATGTGAAGGATGCTTCACTTTATGGTACCCATGCTGGATCTAGTATGCCTACCAATCAAGATTGCAATAACAGTTTACCACAATTTTGATACTGTTTTTTATATATTATCTTTCTTTTTATAACGCCTTTCTATCATAAGGAGGTTTATCATTAAATTCATTCTTTCATTTCTTTTTCATAATATCTCCTCTATTGGTTTTGCATATATTATTTTTCTTGATAAACAAGATAAGAATTATTGCAAAGGCTCATGAATTTCATTTTGATTTTTTTTCTTTTATGAAAGACAATCTACCAATACCTGGATCATCACTTCTTTCTACGGTTCCGCACGGAGATGGCTATTTTTACGATTATCATCAGAGTAATTTTATTCAATATAATTTTATGATTATTATAGGTTTAGTGCTTTAAAAATTATATTTTCAAGTTTATAAATTATATTATTAAAATTGTAGCCTTATATACTTGTCTATCTCAAAGATTAGGGCTGTCTCACCTTCAATGATTGGAGTCTAGAGATCCTAAATAATGAAAATACTTTTGAATTTATAATCGAATATATAATACATGTGTATATTTAAAGAATAATATGAAACTGGGGTTTCTCGGACGAATGGTAGAAAAATTTATGTGAAGGCATTCTTTTATGTACTTATAACATTTTGCTGGTAAGAATCCTACCTTCAGCCTCATCGTGGCGGGGGAGTGGCAACCTCTTTTGGCGGCAAATGGAGGTCTAAAAGGTTCCCTGTGATCTGGGTCTAGAATAGGATCACCGTCTCCTCGACGGGGTGTAAAAACCACTTAAAGAGGTTGATGTCAGGAAGGGCATCCGATTGTAAAAACCATGCTACAAAAATTTCCCTATGGTTACAACAAAGCATGGGCGGGGTACAGCCCAAAGTACCCCGTGGGCCTCCTCATCCGCCTACGACAAAAAGAAGGATGGGAAACCTGGTGGAACCACTATTCATGAAAATGAAACCTATGACGGCCATAAACGACCTAATAAAAAGTGGAGAAACCAGTTTACGGGTGATCGAGTTAGGGTCGCGACATGGAATGTTGGGTGTATGACGGGAAGAGCGGGAGAAGTCGTCGATGTATTGCACAGAAGACATATAGATGTGTGCTGCATACAGGAGACTAGATGGAAAGGAAATGGGACCAGAATGATTGGCAAGACTAGCGAAAAGTATAAATTCTTTTGGCAAGGAGGTAATGATGGTAAGGCTGGAGTTGGGGTATTGGTTGCGGAGAAATTGGTAGACAAAGTAGTCGAAGTGAGAAGGCTAGACAACCAGATAATGGTTATCAAGATGATTATTGGTAGAAAGCTATATAATATGATCTCGGCATATGTTCCTCAGGTTGGAAGAAGTGAAGAAGAGAAAGATGTATTTTGGGACAGTCTATTGGAAGTGACATCGAGACTGGCAAATGAAGAGGGGATTATCCTGGCTGGCGATCTGAATGGACATGTGGGAGCGAGTAGTGAGGGTTATGAAGGAGTACATGGAGGGTTCAGTTACGGCATGAGAAATTTGGAAGGAGAGAGGATTTTAGAATTTAGTGATGCTATGGATATGATTGTTTGTAATACAATGTTTAAGAAAGAATCAGAGAAGCTGGTGACTTATAAGTCGGGTAGTACCAAAAGTGTTGTGGATTACTTGTTATTAAGGAGATGTGATCGATGTATAATATAAAATGTGAAAGTGATACCGGGAGAGGAATGTATAAATCAGCATCGACTAGTTGTAGGAGATCTCACTCTTAAAGGTGCCAGGGTCACTAAAAGAAAGTTTGGAAATTGAAGGAGGAGAATGCTAGACGTCATTTCAATATGGCATTGGCGATTAGGGAGGCGGAGGTGGCACAAGCATCTGGGGTGAATGACAAGTGGGAAGCCATGAAGAAAGCTTGGGTAATGACAACTGAGGAGGTATGTGGATGGACAAAAGGGCCGCCTAGACATAAGGAGACTTGGTGGTGGAGCCCAGAGGTAGCGAAAGCCGTGGATGAGAAACGGAGGTGTTTCAAAGTATGGTATAATAGCAAAGAAAATAGTGATAATGATATTTACAAGATGGCTAAAAGAAATGCTAAGAAATTAATAGCGAAGGCTCAAGAAGAAAAAAGACACGAGTTTGCTAAAGAAATGAAATGCGCTGATGGAATTGGAAATATGGTTAGAATGGCAAAACAGAGGCAGGATGTGATAGGTGTAAAGTGTTTGAAAAATATGGAAGGAAAAATGACGATTGATAGTGGTGGTATTAAGAACACCTGGAAGATTTACATGAAAGGACTTTTGAATGAAGAAAATGAATGGAATAATAATATTAGTTGTGCAAAGGTAGAAGGTCCAGGGTGTAAATTTGGCAAGGACGAGATAAGGAGAGCAGTGAAAAAGATGAAGAAAGGGAAGGCATCGGGTTTAACGATGGTGGTATCAGAGATGTTTAAAGGTTCTGATGATTTAGGGATTGAATGGTTAATGAATTTAGCAAATCAGATTGTCACAGAAGGTACTATTCCCGAGGACTGGCGAAGAAGTATAATTATCCCAGTATACAAGGGAAAAGGTGATCCTTTAGATTGTGGGTCTTACAGAGCTATTAAACTCTTGGAACATGCAATGAAAGTATTTGAGAGAGTGTTAGAAAAGCGGATAAGGGAACAAATCAAAATTGATGAAATGCAGTTTGGTTTTACATCGGGAAAAGGCACGACAGATGCAATTTTTGTGGTGAGACAAATTCAGGAGAAGTATCTTGCGAAGGAAAAGAACTCTATTATGCGTTTGTTGATTTGGAGAAAGCATTTGATAGGGTGCCGCGTGAGAATACAAGATGGGCCTTGAGAAAATCCGGTGTGGAGGAATGGTTAGTTACCGCAGTGATGGCAATGTATGTTGGAGCACAAACAGCAGTACGGACGGATCATGGTGATAGTGACAGCTTTGAGGTGAAGGTAGGACTTCATCAAGGATCCGTGCTGAGTCCATTATTATTTATCTTAGTAATGGATGTGGTGGCTAGAGAAATGCGTGAAGGACTTCCCTGGGAGATATTATATGCAGATGACCTTGTATTAATGGCAAACAGTGAGGGAGAATTGAGGGATAAAGTTAGTAAATGGAAGATGACTATGGAAGCAAAGGGCCTGAAAATGAATGCATCAAAAACAAAGGTGATGATTGGTGGGGAAAATCTAAAGATAGAAGAATCAGGTAAGTGGCCTTGTGGTGTATGTGGGAAAGGAGTTGCTAGAAATTCTATCCAATGCACCAGATGCCAGAAATGGGTACATAAAAGATGTAGTGGGAAAAAAGGCAGTTTGATGTTAGAAAGAATGACCTTTATTTGTAAAACATGCATGAAAGGGATACATAATAATGATAACCTAAAAAATGGTGGTCTGGATATTGGCAATGGGGTTAACCCTAGAAAAAGTGGATAAGTTTTGTTATTTAGGTGATATGCTAAACGCAGATGGTGGTGTAGATTCTGCTGTTGTTGCAAGGATCAGACAAGCTTGGAAGAAGTTCAGAGAGATGTCATCTATTCTTACAAATAAAAAAGTTTCTCTGAAGTTAAAGGGGAATGTTTACGTAAGCTGCGTGAGGAGTTGTTTAGTTTATGGCGGTGAAACATGGGCAATGAAAGCAATTCACGAAGCCAAATTAGAAAGAACAGAGATGAGGATGGTTAGATGGATGTGTGGGGTATCTCTGAGAAGAGAGAAAAACTAGCAAGGAATTGCGAGCAAGATTAGGTATAGAAATGATTGGTATGGTAATGCGACGAAATAGACTAAGATGGTTTGGGCATGTGGAACGTCTGACAAGAGATGACTGGGTAAAGAGATGCACAATGATGGAAGTAGGAGGATCAAGACCTAGAGGAAGACCCAAGATGACGTGGACAAATGTGATAGCGGCGGATATGAGAAGCTTGAATCTTACAAGTATTGATGCTCAGGACCGTCAAAAATGGAAAAGAAAAATCAGAGGGAAAACTGGCCTACCTGGGTAAACCTGGAAATCGCCATAAAACGGAGAAGAAGAAGTGCTTTAAAAATTATATTTTCAAGTTTATAAATTATATTATTAAAATTGTAGCCTTATATACTTGTCTATCTCAAAGATTAGGGCTGTCTCACCTTCAATGATTGGAGTCTAGAGATCCTAAATAATGAAAATACTTTTGAATTTATAATCGAATATATAATACATGTGTATATTTAAAGAATAATATGAAACTGGGGTTTCTCGGACGAATGGTAGAAAAATTTATGTGAAGGCATTCTTTTATGTACTTATAACATTTTGCTGGTAAGAATCAAATTCTTAACAGTTTAAAAGTAAAAATTATTTTGTGGCCTTTCCTAAGCTTAACTAGAAAGTGTGTTCCTCTTTTGGCCCCAATAAAATTAGAAAAAGTTTAGATTAGAAAAAGTTGGAAATTTTTTCATTTAAAATATTTTAATGATAAAATCGTATGTACCTCCAAAATTTGTATTTTTAGATAATACAACAATATCCACTAATTTGTTATTGTTGAAAAATACATTTAAAAAGATATACAATTATATATTTGAATATTGTTGTTAGTTATTACTAAATATCAAATCAAATAAATTAATGAAAAAAAATTAATATTATAATATGATTTTTAAGCTTAAATAAATAATATATTGACGATTAGAATTATGTAATATCAACAAAAAATCTATAGGATCTCCACCACTTAAGATCCTAGACAGTATTTAATATGTAAGGCGAAAACTTTTAGAAAGTTTCTGAGTTTTGGTATTTAATTATGAATATTATTTGTGTCAGTCATTGTCGAAACAATCTATGTTCGATGATTTTTTTGCAATACGATAGAAATGCATCTTTAAAAGATCTTTTAGGCTGTGTCCTGGTTCAGCATATTTCCAAACAACTGGCTGTTTAGCCATCTATAGCTTCGACTAAACAGCTTAAAAAGTAAGAGGAACAAAATAAAAAATGCCACCAAATACTTAAAACATACCAAATATGTTCTATTTCAAATGCTGTTTAGCCTAAATTATCAAAAATAAGTTGAACCAGAACACATACTTAAGGCTGATATTTATAACTTTTTTAAAATTATTTTTCGGATTTTTTCACTGACTAAAATATGCTTTGCTACTATCTGGTATATTTTCTGCCTATTTTCCTCAATAGAGCAGAAAATAATTATTGGTAAAATAGTTAATTTTTATTCCTTTACACTCTAGCTCTAAATCATTAAGAGTATATTAAATACGCGAGTAACTCAGTTAAAATATTTTCATAATCACAACTTATACATTAGTATCACTCATCTCCAACATGTTGGCTTACCAAACCCACCACTTAATATCCCCCCATTCATAATAACAAACCAAGATATACGCGATACAATAAATGAATTTAAAAAATTTTCAGCAGCTGGACCGGATGGCTATAGACCTCCTTACTTCCAAACATTTTTAAAATCTCATAATTCCAATATTTTTTAACTCACTTACCACCTTCCTTATTAATATAACTACTAAAGATATTCCCACATTAGCTCATCAAATTATATTTGGAGCTAATTTGATAGCTTTTGAAAAACCTAATGGAGGCATCCTACCAATCGCAATCGGTTCATTTTTCAGACGATTGATAGCTATTATTATAGCAAAAAAAATAATCCGATACTCATTCCCTGCTTGGCAAATATCAATTAGGATGCAGAACTAAAGGAAGCGTAGATATAGCCTCTCACTGCCCACGTATCCACCTCCAATATCCACCAATAAACTCTGTTTTATGCAAAATCGATTTTAAGAACGCTTTCAATACAATTTCACGTTCCTCGGCACTCGAATCTTTTTTCGATAATTTCCTCCAATACTCGCGCTTCATTAACTGCTATAACAATAGTACTACCCTCATTTTTAATGGTAGCGTTATATACTCTGAAGAGGGAGTACAACAGGGCGACCCCCTCTGCCATATTCTTTTCTGCTTAGCTATCCACAATTTTGATTTTGATCTCGACCTAAACCTATGGTACTTTGATGATGGCACTCTTTGCGGTAATCCACATCAAATAAACAAAGCCCTTAACTACCTCCAAAGAGTGCTCTAAAATAGGTTTAGAATTAAATAAAACTAAAACTTAAGTTTGCTTCCTCAACCCCGAGATTCCCTTAGATTTATTTAAAGAATACACTATTATCGAAAAAGAAGATATCCAACTCTTGAGCTCCCCATTACTTAATAATATTATATCCGAAAAAATTATCTATAAAATCTTTTCTGAGATGCAAAACTTGGAAAAGTTCATCAACCACATTCCATCGCACCAGCTTTTTTACTTATTAAAAAAGTGTTTATATCTTCCCAAAATCTCACATCTCTTTCACTCATCCTCATCATTCACCTCAAAATTTTTCATTCAACACAATATTCGTTTAAAGACCTTTGTAGAAAGGATCCTCAACCTTTCATTATCAGACTTTAATTGGCACCTTGCCCAATTACCCGCTAAACTAGGTGGTATCGACTTGATCCCCTTAAAACTACTTTCCCTTTCTCTATTTATATCAAATCCCTATCGCTCAATTCTGCGATCTCATCAGTCATAACTCCCCATGATGATCTTCTTTCAGCGGCAATCGTAAGATGGAATCTCCTAACCCCAGACGGTTATACATTTCCTACCGAAATCTATTATCGAAACCTTAAAAAAATTACAAAATAGTCTTAACCCTACCGAAATCCGCGATATACAACTATTACAAAACAACGATAAATACGGTGGGCATGAATCAAAGCACTTCCAAGCCAAACCTTAGATAATCTCTTAACCAATGACCAACTGAGAGTTACTATAGGCTTTAGACTTGGATGCTCGCTTACACATTCACTCTTGCCACCAATGCAGCCTACCCGTTCAACCTAACGCCAGACATGTTCTAAACTGCACCTGCAGCCTAGGTCGTCATCTCCGGCATAAAGCAATTAATAAAATCATACATAACACTTCTAATAAGGCTAAAATACCCAACATCCTTGAACCTACCAACCTCTCATTACAGGACGGCCTCAGACCCGACGGCTTAACCTGCACCCCCTGGTCCAATTGGAAATCCCTTATTTGGGATACAACCTCTGTATCATCCTTTCCTTCATCAATTAATACAAACCCTCTTACTTGTGGTGAAAATAAAAAAATTAATAAATATTCAAAATTAAATAACTTTATATTTCAATCAATAGTCATTTCAACTAACGGCAATTTTTCACAGTCTACATAGATTTTTTTTAAAACTTTATCACGAAAATTATTTAGCATAACAAACGAAAATCGCGAATTCTTATTTTTTAAACAAAAACTTTAATTGGAAATTTTTAAACACAATTATACTTGTTTTATATGTACATTTTCATTATTAAATTAAGCTCTTTTTAGAGCCTTCGATACTATTAATATATATATTTATTTAGTAATTTTATATAGTTGTTTTAATATTTTAGTGTTTTGTCATTTTTTTTAAATTATACCAATATCAATAGTATCAAAATAAAATTTTAAAATTGTAAATTTGATTTTTGTATTTTAATAAAAATATGAAGGTATTCCTCTTTAATATGAATAAAGATATTACATCAGTAAAATTGTATAACAATTTTATTCATAAATTCCCACGTTTTGGTCATGGTTTATCATACCGGCCTACTATATTTATGCTTCCACTCAAAATATTTGAACTTTTTTATGTTCAATATGTTAATTTATCTCAGATATTTCCATGAACGATTTTGTGGATCAACAAGAACCTTGGTTTGGCAGCACTCAGACTCAGCCGGATAATACCGATTATCATTCTAGATCGCGTGATTGGAATTCCCGCCAAAATTTTTACACTTCCGGATGTGTGGAAGGAAACGTTGACAGAATCTACGAATATGTAATCTTTTATTTTCTTTAATCTTTTCGATTTTATATCATCTATTCAAAATAATTCTTTTAGTTTTACATTCTTAGAATATCATTCATTTTTTATGACCTTTTTTCATATTTATATATATTTTTAAAATGAATTTTTGTTTAACTTGATGTTAATTGATTTATATACTTTCTATTCATAATTACTTGCTTGTCATAAAAAAAATAGCGTATTATCTCTACTGAAAATTTCTTTCTTAATACAACTCATTATAATTTTCATTATTAGTGAATTTCCAATGATCCTTGCTATTTTGCATTTATCTCTATAAGTACACTCATAGTATTAATATAATATATTGTATATCAAAGAGCTCTAAAAATATCCCTTCTCACGACTTGCATCAGCATAATATCGATCATTTACAAAATATACCCAACGAATTAGTTCCCGAACATATATCCCATTTCTTTTCCGAACATTATTCGGAAATAAGCAATTCTAATATTAATAATCTCAATCTTTCAAACCCATCCTTTTCCAACAATTACCCTTCTCACATGCCACAACACACAAATTTACAGCATATCACCACGCAACTTGGAACCGGGGAGGGAGAAGATAATATACCTAACAAATATTTTCGAGGTTTTTATATATTTTTTAAAATAAGCTTCATTTTATTACTTGAATTCATTTGATATGAAGGAACTGGGTTAAGATCTAATAAATCTAGATTAGCCATCGAACCAAACTTATATATTTTTTTGTTTTATTTAAAAAAAACAGATCAAAAATATGCCGATCAGATTAAAGACCAAGATCATCTTCATCCTTACACAAACCTTAGTACCCCATGGGCCGACCATCACAATTTTTCCCATCCTCAAAATATTATTTCAAACGATGACAGACTATTGAATAACGTGATAGTAGAAAACAACGATCCGAGTCGAACCGTCATTATTAATAATAACAATTCCATCCCAGAAAGAAGTAATCAATATCCACACTCGCTTTTAGGTCTTACCGCTTACCACCAAGGTTTTCAACCTTCCGCTGAAACATCCTTCTATAACAACGCTCAATCGGTCATGGCAATACCCCTTGACCACCCAAATCAGCAGAGTGCAAATAAAATGAACAGTTTTTTAAATCAAAATATAAACCATTTACCTTCTTCTAACATCAATGACATTAATAATACCGCAAATTTTGACGATCTTTCGGCTATGATGTTTTCGACTTTCCAGTGAATATTTTTTTTACGCATAGATATAGTATTATCGAGATATCGTAAATACTTATTGCATTAGGTCATGGCTTAGGGATTTGAAGGTATAGTCATTAAAAAGCGTATTTCATACATTATTTATATAATTTAATAGCGCACAATTATTTTTTTTAGTGATGACTTTTAAATAAATTACATCATTTGAATATTAATTATTCAACATCGAAGAAATGAAAAGTAATTACTCAACATATCTTATATTCAAAATATAAACGTTTTACAATTTGGCCAAATATAATTTAATTGTATTTTATGAAGGTTGAATTCTCTTATACACAAAATAATATACGGCTTTTTTACCAAAATATTAGACAAGTTTATATATTTTATTGGTTGTTTATAAAAAATTCTTAGCATTTAATATTAATCTCATAATTTTCTCAACTTGAAATTACACCTTATTTTATATTTCTTAACGGTTCACTACAATTATTCTTTTTTTGTAATTTGTGACATAATTCATTTATTTATATATCATTTTACAAGACAATAAAATACATAATTTAAACTGTATGATTGTTATTTTATTTATATAATATTTGAGCATGTTCCATGTGCATGTAACTTAATTAATATATAGAATATTCCTCGTCTCAGAAATTTTTCAATAAAATGATGTTTTTTGCCCTTAGACTTAAAATATGGTATATTAAAAATCAGTATTTATTTCAGGGTTTATTTATAAAATTTTTAACTGATTTCATTAATCCCTACAATAATAAATATTCTTACTTTACATAATATTTAAATTGAATCATAAGTCCTAGTATGTAATAAATAATAAAAAGAATATAGGAAAATATGAAACTTTTTTATATTGTTAAAGAAAAAAACACATACAAAATTGATTGTAATGAATAAAATTTGCCAAAATTTTATAAATAATATAATTACATAGAAAAAAATAAAATAAATGAAATTTATGCTATCCAAACCAGAATCGTATAGCGGTTATCCCTTCTAAACATATTCCCCCTTTCCCCCAAAGAATTTTCTATAAAATAAAGCATAATCTATTTTAAATTAATTCTAAATTTGGGTATAAGCCTACTACTAAAAAAACAATAACATCCCTCGCTGCCTCTATAAGTAAAAATTCCTGGTTAGTGCTGTACAGTACACATGGTATAATATCAATGAGCTATTTTATTATAAATTAGTTTAAATTATGTCTAATATTTTTATAGATGAGTTATAATATCATATCGAGGATTCACTGGAATCATTTCTGCGTCCCAAATTTTCGTTATAATTTTTATCTAGAAAATCCTCGTCAATAATGGGATTTTTTAACGGTTCAGAAGGCTTTAATGCACAACATACCATGAACTTAAAAGTGTCCTTTATTTTAATTGATCGGATGTTATTAATTAGATTCAAATCAAAAGATATTCTAGCGAGCGAAAAAATACTGTAGTAACATAGGTACGTTAGAAACGAAACGTACAAGATTAGAAGAATATAAACGATGGCTAAAATCCACCAGCTTTTGTCCGACAAACTCCGTATGATTGTGGATGTGAAATAAAAATTAATGGCCAGCACTAAGCATGAGACAACACCAACGAACATTTTATTGACTACGCTGTTAACAAAGGTACTACCCATAATAGTGGGAAGACTAGTAAAAGTGAGTAACGGAACGAGAGCAAAGGGCAATTGAAAACTTTGTAAGGCGTTTAGGGCGTCATTCATGCCAGTGAGCGAGTCTATATCTTCGTTTAAAGCCAGTATGAGGGTGGGTAAGATAGCTATGCATCGAGTAAGAGCTACCCGCTTGGCGCGGCTCCATCTGAGATTTAAAAATCCTTGCATAACGTATTGTCCCGAGAGAGTGCCGGTCATGGTTGAGCTCTGACCAGCGGCTAAAAGACCCACGGCCCAGATGTACAGAGAAGGAGGCCCGAATCGACACCCTAAAAATACAGCGCCCCTGCATTTTTTTATATACATATAAAACATATTTTCTTTTGATTGGTTAAATTCTTATGTCTATAAGATTATTTACATATTGTTTTGTTTATATGAATTTTAGTCATAAAGCCTTTAAAAAAACTAATTTTATCAAGTTTAGATTGATAATTTTCCTTCCAAAGTTTACAGAGGGATATCAATACATTTTGATTATTTCGTATATACGTTATCAATCAGTAATATTATCTGATTAACCTCCTACCTAAACAAATCAACTTTAACTGGAGATTCATCGGAAGGAAACAAGTTACGCGCACCGGGAAATACAGAAGTACTATTAAAACAATATGCTCTCACGTGAGAATTAGTTGACCCATAAAGGGTTTCGGCGAAGACAGAAGTGACGAAAAGATTAATAATCAAGGAGCATGTCAAAGCTATCGCAGCTTCCACGAGGTGGTAAAAGTTGGCTTGCTTCATCTATAATATACAAAGTTGAGGTGAGTAAAGTATAAGCAACTTTTATAAATGCATTTTTCTATTCCAAACTTTAATGTCATATTACTTAGAGAAGGTCAACGGTTCCGTTTTTTCAGGCTGGACCATCATTTTTTATAATCAGGACAGTGATTCGGCTTGGTTCTGGGCAGTACAAATTTACTGATAATAGAAACAAGTGATGTTTTACCCTGCTAACTAAATTGAAAGATGGCACTATATTTTTGAAAAAAATAAACTGTTTCTGAAACCATATGAGCTAAAACGTTATATATTACGTTGTAAAATTTAATTTGACAAGTATTTTTTTCTCTTCCTTATTTAATTGTATTATTTATGTTTTTAAATTTTAAATAGAGTAAAAACTTGTCTAATTTGGGCTCTTGATGATTCGGGCAACTCCCTAATTTGACTAAAATTTTGAGTCCCAATCAAATTGCTATTAACTAGTATTAGAAAGTAAAAATAAATTGAGGAAAAAAATTTGATCCCAATGGTATCCTCCTTATAAAATATTTTAAAAAAATAATAATTTTATATTCATTATTTTTAAAATTTCTAAAATTAAATCACAAAAAGAGGTTCATCTTTTTAAATTTGCTAAAACTGGTTTCCAGGATATTTTATACAAGGGGTTTTAGATCTGATTACAAAAAACTTTATGAGTACGGTTCTGATTCTTATTTTGACTGGGTTCGGTTAGAAACTCTTAGTATGTTCTGACTTCATCCTAGCTCAACATAGGAATTTTCTCGCCGAATTTTTTAAATTAATGTTATAAAAATTGTAAGGTGGTCAGGATACTATATTAAAATTAGTAAAACTAAATATCGGACTTCCATAATTTTCTGAGTTCTATGACATTTTTGTTTTTTATTATGAACATTCACCATATTTGGACAAGCATCGTAACATAGTTAAGCTACAACTTACATAATTAATAAAATAATGTATGTATACTTAGCTAATTCTAAATAATCGGTCCGGTTTGACGGACCATGCTCTTCTATATATAAGGTATAAAGGCATCTTGAAAAATATCGTTTTTTTTTCAATAAATCCTATGGTTGGTAAATATCGAAATTGGTATTAAGTAAACTTTTATATATAAAATTATTTCTCACCCCGAGGGAGCTTCCATTCGTTAATATTCCACGAGGAGTTTTAACCAGGGCTGAATGCAGATAAAGGTTGTGGGGCATTACGACTGCACCAACAATGCCCACGGCTTGCAAAATTACCCGTTGACTACAATCTCCGCAGGATGGCGTAAATAAGCCGGTTATGAGTTTAGCTTGATTAGGTTTTATTATGACGTAATGGTAACCGAAAGAAATTGCCATGACACCTATAAGAGTTCCAAATAAGAGCTCGAGTTTCCTTAGACCGTATCTATCGAGGCATAAAAACGTGAGCGTGTCAACTATAGTGAGTAAAACTCCAACGTAGAGCGGAATTTTACCAGCCGAAAGGAGATAAAAGGCTATGGCAGTGCCAACTACTTCCTGCATATCTGAGCCTAATACATTTACAAGTAAATCAAAATTTACTAGTCAGTAATTTATTAAATAATGACAATTCTGCCTGACTTTTATTTGCAGGGGGGGGGGGGTAATTTTTTTATATTAAAATGATTATATTTGGAGCATTAAACATTAAAAATTTATTAGAACCATTTTTATTAAATATGATAATTTCTAACATAATATTAGAAAATAAAAAATGGTAAGTTAATATAATATGGTTATAATAGGGGTGTACCGATACCACTTTTTGGAGGCAGATCCGATTCGATACTCCAGATATTGAATTGATATCGGCCGATAACCGATTCGATATCATATCTAATTTTGTATTCTGTAAAGATACCAATGGTTTTAATTTTTAATATACTTTTTATTAGTATAACATCTATAATATTACTATACCATAACATATGTCATTTAAATATATTATAATGATCAGTTATAGTTTATATTCAATTCAATTGCAATTCTAAAAGTATATAAAATATTTTTATTGATAAATTACTTATTTATATAATAAGTAATAACATTAATCTATTTACATAATTAGTAATAAACAAATATATTATAAAATTTTAAATTGATATTTAAAATTATATATCGAAAATTTCTTTTTAGAAATATCAAAATTTCGGTTCCACGTCAATTCGGCGCGGAAAATTCAGCGCACGACAATTCGGCGTAGAAAACTCGGCGCGACGTCAATTCGGCGCATAGTCAATTCAGCGCGGCGACAATTCAGCGCGGCGACAATTCGGCGCGGCGACAATTCGGCGCAACGTCAATTCGGCGCGTATCTAATACATTTGCAATTTATTATAAATTTATTAGTATAAAAAAAGGATGATTAAATAGAAATGATTTTGAATGTTGATCATATTAATTATTTCTTCATATTTTTTTTACAAAATCAATAAAAAAAAAATTAACAACCAATATTTAAACCGATTTCCTTGCTGGACCAATTTACCACATTATAAGGTAGGGGAGACTGGGGTTAGTCGAACCGATTTTTATAAAATTGGCTATAGCTCCTGGTTTTTTAGATAATATAAAAAAAATATGCTATTATTTATGCCAACTAATGACAAATATCAAGTTTGTGCATAGAACACAAAATATTTTATATTCTAAAAATTATTAGCAAAAGAAACAAAATTGAAAAAATGGCCAACTATTTTTGAAGGCAATGATTTGATATATTTCTAAAAACTTCATGGAAATGATTAATAATTTGTGTAAAAATAAATATTTTTTTTAAATAAAAATTTGATTTTCAATAATAATATCTAAAAGTTGATGAAAATAGGTGAACTAGATTTATTTAACTTTCTTTTTATTATTTAAAACCTCAAATCTTCTAGGGAATTTGAATTTAAAAAACATTTTGATTTAATTAAAGTAGTGCAGGGGTCAAAAATTGGTATTAATTTATAAATCCGGGCCAAAATAAAAAAATATGGGCTGGCCATTATCATTACTTAATAATAATACTTTGCTTAATATCACAGATACTAGACATCCAATTCGTTTATTTTCAAATATTGTTTTGTTTAATTTTCACCAAACCTGGATTCGGAATAAGGCCATAACATTATACTTATATATTGGTTAGGATTAATGAATAATAATTTAAAAATTTGGTTCGGTTTAATATAAATTATTAGTTGTTATTCATAATTTTGTTTAACAATTTTATTTGGAAAAATATTTCATAGGAATTTATTTTAATTTTGTTGATTCTCGAAAATTTTACATATTTTATTTGGGGATTTTTTTTCCAAAGATTTTTTTTGGGCGATTTTTTTTCCTATTTTGTTAATTTTCTAAAAATAATTTAATATTTTATATGGATCAAAAATTAGGGGATTATTTTTTCGGGAATTTTTTTCCATGGGATTTTTTTTACGGGAATTAATCTTCCGGGGATTTTTTTTCCGGGGAATAAATTTCCTAGATTCAAAATTATATTAAATCTTAATTCCCCCTTTTCCCTCCTATTTTTAGACAACAAAAATATATAAATATATATTTTATTTTCGGATTCAAAATTATGTTAAATCTTAATTCCCCTTGTTCCCGCCTATTTTTAGAAACAAAAATAAATTAATATATATTTTATTTTCGGATTTATTCCTTTTGTTCAATAATTTTAAAGAATTCAATCGTTATTTTTCTCAATAAATTTTATAATCTAAATTAAACATAAAATCCAAATCTCCTTTTTCTTTTTTTCCCCGCTTAACTTTATAACAACAAATTAATAAATAGAATTATTTATCTTAAAATTTTGTCCTTTTTTTTCATTTTAAAAGTCTGTAAAAAAAACTTTAATATTTTTCATTTCCTTCCGTAATTTAATCTTTATTTTCCATAATTTAATCATTGTAAATTGAGAATTCCTATTTAAAGGTAAATATTAATAATCTTATTTTTGTATATCATTTATAATTTTTTATATTATAGTTTACTTTTATTTTTAAGAATGCCTTTAAATTATGTCATAAGTTAACGTGGATCAAAACAATTAGTTCATGATCAATACATATTCAGGAAAGAAAGAATTATAAATCAAAAAACAATATGGAAATGTGTAGAGACTTATAAATTATTGGAAGGTAGACCTACCACAAAGGACGATGCCACACATTAAATGAAGAGGTAATTTTTCATATTGATAATCATAATCATGTGATAGATGGTATAGAGGTCTTAAAAACCGAATGCCTAAATAACATTAAAAAACGGGCTATTGAGGTGACTGATACACCTCAAAAAATTATAAGCATTGAAATAGAGGGTTCCCGATCCCTTCATGCTGCCCTTCCGCCCATCACGTCAATAAAACGAACCATCCAGCAAGCTAGATCGCTCATGGGTTCTCCATTACCTACCCCGACAAACAGTTATGATCTAGATTTACCTGATATCTATAGAAAAACATGTTCGGGGTTGTCATTCCTTCAATATGATAGCAAGCATTTGCTACCGGAACTACCAAGAATTTTGATATTCGCCACTGCCCAAAACCTTAGATTGATGGCGGAAAGCAGTCACAGGGAAAAGGAGGAATTAAGATTTAACATAATTTTGAATCTAGGAAATTTATCAGAGACCTGCAGAGGTACCATTTGCACGGCCCGGCCCGGCTTTAATTTTTTAGGCATGGCCCGGATATTTAAAAAAAAAATTTTTTACGGCCTGGCCCGGATATTTTTTTAAAAAAAAATTTCAGGCCCGGCTCGGAATTTTTTTAAATTATATTCGACCTGGTATATACAAAAATTCACCTATGAGGTATTTTACCATATTTTTCAGCAAGTATTATCGCTTATTATTTAAAAAATGCATGTAAAAAGCTAATATTTTGAGAATATTATATTGAATTTATAAAAATTATAAAACTGTTATTTATAAAAATGGATATTTTGAGCATATACTATATTTTATATTGCATTTATAAAAATAAAACTAATATTCATAAAAATGGTAATAATATTTGTCATATACTATATTTTATATTACATTTAAAAAAAATAAAACTAATATTTAATTTATAAAAATGGAAAATATTTTGAGAATATAATATATTGTATTTAATTTATAAAATAAAAATAAATCGCTATTTAAAAAAATGCATGTATAATAAATAGTATTTTGGAAATATAATCTAATTGCACAATATTAATATAATTTATTTTATAATATAAATTTTTAACAAAAGAAGATAATTGTATTATATAATATTGTAAAAAAAATAATGAAAAATGTTGGATTAAAAACTTTCATGGCTCAAGGTAAATATAATAAATGCAATAAATATTTGACAGTTTGCAAAGTAAAAAACCAGCATGATTGACGAAACCCTATACTCAAAAAGATATTAAAAATTCACAAATTATCATGAAGAAAGAGAAGCATATCTACCTTTTCAGGTTGAAAATTACTTCTTCTTTCTTCAAGAATTCTCCCAGTAGTGGAAAAATTCCGCTCACAGCTTGCACTTAAAGCAGGAATTGCCAATTTTGCTAAAATTGGAAATTCGCTTTGATGAGCCGCCCACCACTCTAACAAATTATCCACCTTAAATGTTTTATCTATTATTTATGTAATTATAATATTCATCATCGGGTATTGACATATTACCAGAATTACCATCGCCCCATTTGTCATAAAACGATTCAGTTTGTTTAACAACAGTCGTAATTTGACTGGTCGATGGTATTTCATTTACTTCCTGAGCCTCTTGTAATTTAATATAATCTTTTATATAGTTTTCCGTCATTATGCGATCTGTCCCTGACTACATACGTAATTGCTTGAATTTGGGACAGAGAAAAAGAGAAATAAAATGATACTTGTGTAAAACAAATTTTTCAATTAAAAAATGCTTTATATTAAGTAAAATCAATTACAAACTTTAAGAAGTGATAATCCTTTATTTGATTGTTTTGGTAAAATATATTCTAAAAATTTAGATATGAATTATAAAAAAATATATTAATAATACTTGAATATTGGGGCTTATTTAAGATATTCCTTTATTTGATTGTTTTGGTAAAATATGTTGTAAAAATTTAGATATGAATTATAAAAAAATATATTAATACTTTGAATAAATTTGCAGGAAATTAATAATTAGATCGATCTGTGGGTTGTTAGGTAGTGTTAACCATCACCCAATATTATATTAATCATAACTATAATATAATATAATCTTATAACCATTAACTCATAATGTAAAAATTTTTATAAAAAATATTAAGGCCCGGCCCGGATATAGTTTTAAAAAAAATTTTTAGGCCCGGCCCGGATATGTTTAAAAAAATTTTTTAGGCCCGGCCCGGGTATATTTAAAAAATTTAAAATACGGCCCTGCCCGGGCTTAGGGCCGGGCCTGCAGGTCTCTGAAATTTATTCCCCGGAAAAAAAATTCCCGGGAAAATAATCCCCTAATTTTTGATCCATATAAAATATTAAATTATTTTTAGAA